GTAAATGTGACACTGACTGCAAATTAACGAGACATAGAGCTGATTGACTGCACATAAACGTGATAAATTTTTAACCTTATTGATGTACAGAGTTGCATTTTGCTTTTTTTAGTTTTCATCCATTTAACATAAGCACAATCACTCCAACGTTATTATATAAATTGTCACCCTAACACATAGTTACAGATTGGTATATAAAAATTGTCATTCTAGCAATTTGATCCATCATTTTGCTTCATTTTGAAATGATTGTTGAAATGTCTTATTGATCATTTTTTTAATGTACCTCCTCACTGGGAGTATATTTCTTGAGTATTGTTAGTATGTGTTATATAACAAAAATTAAACATGTTATTCTGTACTTTGTCAATAAAAATTGTCGTTATAGTTATTTTATTTGTTACTAAACAAATTTATGATTTGGCCTAGTCCATTTAATAATATGACATCACCAATGTCCTTTTTGTTCATAAATTAAAGATTGAGAAATAATTTCAGTTAGTGTGGCTCAATTAGAAATAACTCTTTAAAGTGCTGAAGTTATTAAAAATTATTGATTGCATATTTAATGCTAACTTGATGAAATATCATAGCATAACTAAACCACAGGAAAAGTTGACCACTCAAAGTTGGTCTCTTCTTGTTAGTATCTGGTGTGTCTAAACAAATATTGGAATGTCAGTTTGTCCTTCATTCTTTCAGCTCTTTGTGATAGAAAAGGAAAGTGAGCATCCTAATGATTTTTTTAAAGATGTCTATTCATTGATCATTTACTCAATCTAACTCCCTTCTGACACAATTGTGTTTGAATCCAGGCACCAGCAATGCTCTTGCAAACATGAAAAAGAAAAAAAACACATATTCATACCTTTGTCAACTCTTCAGTAAACATTGTCTGAAGTTTACAGTCAAAGGGGAAAATATAACAAAATGATAATTCTTTGTAGTACAAGGTTTGGCAATTTTAATGATGCTACAATTGATATAATATCTTTAACAATGTCATTTTAAATGATATCATTCATGCCACTTTCATTTATCATTTATTAGTGGTCTAGAGGAGCAATTCTTTCTCAAATAAGACTTTTACAAAGCCACACCAACTTAATTGGGTAAGGTTACAAATCCTGTCATGCCTCTGCATCTTCAGGTACTAATAATATCGGTTACTTTTTGCTTTTCAACTGGGTAAATCATTTGTGATAAAAATGAATGCATGCTTTTAACAGAGCTATAAAATTAACTATCAAGATATTTTACTTTTCAAAAAATGCTTTAACTGCTCACTCTTACAATACCTTGCCAGAATTCTTTTTAATGAAATGGCTTGGTACAAGTGAGGGAGGTTGCAGTTAAATTTACTTGTTGAATGTGGGACCAATCTGACTAGATACATTGAGGGACACATTTTTTCACAGATTCTTCAAGTCAAATTTGCAGCTGAAATTATCTATTAGTTTTAGTTTTTACATGCCTGAACTTGAAAGAACTAAACAAGTGTCCTATGTGTTAAATTCACTAGTTATAAGAGACTGATCATTTTATTACAATCTTGTAGGATTTTTAAGGGGGGGGGGGGGGGGGGGTACTTTTTGGGGGGGTGGGGTAGGCATCATTTTAATTACTGTGGTGCAGAGTTCTGCTTTCTTATAACCTATAAACAGCCAGTTAGAGTTAGATTTTGCAGCTTGCAATGAACTTTCTTATGGCAGGTCCAGGGAAGTGAAATGTCATGCTGCATCAATCCAGACCTAGGTAGCCTTCAAATGCATTAAAGTTTTCAATAAGTGATTTGCTGGCAGTGGTAATGACATTTATATCAGATCTAAATCTAATGTTGTTGTTAAACTGCACCTGGTTATTGTAAAACTGTTATTGTAGACATTGACTCATTTAGTTGCAGCCATTGTTTCATACAGCTATTTAACTCCACATTTAAATCAACATTATTTATTGAAATGTTGGAGTGCTTTTATTTTGAAGGCCAAAAAATGTATTATGTTACAATGTTTATTTTATTTGCGTGGTCCAATTTAACGGTTTTGCTCCAGATGGATGGAAGATATTTGAACTTGTTTGTGTGTGAGGCTCCGTAACTGTCAAAGAATTGATATAGGGTAGAATACTGATCATTGGTGGGCTGAACACCCCAATGGTTGACATAATTAAAGCATATGTTTATTAAAGGAAACCAGTGCACCATGATGAAAATTATTTAACAACTTTCTGCTTTTGGTAGTTTTGTTAATTCTTACTTTACTTTCACTGTCTTATTACATTTTAAAATGTTTAACTAACAGCATTGAACATGATTAATAAAGGAAATTATTTCTGTAAGAATCATTTTTTTTTTTTGAAACTCCTTAATAGATGGCTTTATAGATTTCTATGAAAATGTTTGCTTTATAAGACAAAATATTTTACCACTTGGTTAAATGATAATGAAGTTTCATTTGTATAAATTCTGCTTAATTCCTAACTACTGAATTACCCTCTATTTTCCTTTGGAACCATATTAATTTTTACATATAAAAATAAATGAACCAAGGAGCAAAACATGATCTAACTTTATTTATTTTTATTCACAAAGATTTTCATTTTTTCTCTTGTAACTTTCTTGTAGTTGTAGTTGTAATTGTATGCTGAGTTTTGCAGCAATATCACAGAGGGGACTCAAAGTGTTACAAAAATTCCATGATGTAATATTACTATTTCGTAACATATAGTTATAGTGGATTTGGCGTCAAACCAGCAACTCACTTGGTAATAACGCTTTGCAGAAGCCTTCCCCAATGACTATTGTTTAAGTAGTTTCTCAAACTTGTTTTTTGTAAATAAATAGCTTTCTGTTTTGTGCAGATTTAGCTTCAAATTATCTTAGGAGATGGTATCAACTGAATAGTGTGATTAAGTTTTAGTTAAGTTATTGAAGTATTTCTTTTACTTCTTGTTTCACTGTGCACTTATTAGAAATTGATAAAGGGCGTCTTGGGAAAAATCTGGATGCAGCTAGGACTTGACTTAGAAAAGTTTTAAATTTTTCACTCTAGTATTTTCTAGTGTAAAACTCGGGTTGGACTGAGTCAAAGTAATGTCACTAATCAAGATGTGGGATAATGATATATTAGGCTCTCAGTAGAGCAGCTTCAAAAAATATAGTTAAAACCAATTTGCTTATGGAGCAAAGGGAAATGCATGTTCATTTTGCATTTTAATTTGTAATCATTTAGGATAAACAAGTTAACTATTAAAATTAACTAACATCTCCCAAAATAACTCAAATTTCAGTCAACTTGCCTCTATAGGGTTATCACCCCTGTCAAAGATAATTCATCATTTGTATCTTTTCTTCAGATTGGGTTCTTTAAAATTTATGAAACTGTTTCTCTCAATACATTTTGACTTAACGGTACAGGGTAGTTAAAACAGCATGTATTATTTATTCATGGGAAATATCTAGTTTTAAATGCAAGCCGATTTGTATGACAATTTTTTTTTTCAATTAAAATCACTCTTATTTTAAAAAATCTTCAGGGCAAACTCAATAGCCTAAATTTTATTCTTAAAATATAAATCCTAGTCCAATCTTAAGGTACCGGTATTATTTAAGTTGGTAATAAGTTATGTTGAGTTGGAAATCTTCAAAAATGTTAATTAACATTCCAAATATCTTGGCTTTGTTTCTATGACAGTTTACTTGTCTTAGCTTATTTCTTCAAATGGGCGGGAATCACCCATGATTAGCTATAAATTACTATAAATATTAACTTTCAAAGGCAAAGGATGAGAAATGTTGGTACAAATAGACATACCTGGTATGAGATTCAGTGACAGGGCACAAACAGCTTATAGACATTGAGGGATAGACATGAATAATTTAATTTTGTTAATGGGACACAAAGCACTTGTTAAAAGTTTTAGATATTGAAAAAAAGTAAATAAATATAATTTGCATCTACTAGATGGATGCCGAGGAGAAAAGATGCAAAACTATAGCAATTCTGAAAAATAAAGAGGAGGTCGGGGAGATGTAAAAATTTCTTTGAATCCATTAAAAGTAAGTTTTCTAGAGATGGAAACAATGAAAAGAAACCACGCCATTATTTAACTGACTTCATCTTTCCTAAGAATGTAATGCAATCATTAATATCTTATCTAAAAACATTTTTTTTACCCATGTTGACTTATAATTATAACGTTCAACTTTCCAAGTCATAAGTTTAAGATTTAGTTATTAATTTCAATAACATACCAAACTTAGCCAAATTTAGTCTCAGTAGCCTTTATCATTACTTTAGTGAAATTCATTTTTTTTAAAAACTGTCTGTTTTCTCTGGTTTTTAAAATCACAATTATATGAATGTAAGTAACAGCTGACCAAATTTCAGGTGTCATTTTCATTGAACTGAAATTGTTTTTTTCTGTGTATAGTATAATAATCAAATGTAAGTATAATGCCATGTTTCTAATGATAAACCACTATTGTTGGTATTGTGGATTGTTGTTTTGCCATGTGTAGTGTAATTAACAGGGAAATAATAATAAAGTGTGTTGTCACAATAAAATGTGATAAATAACTAAATGTAGACTTAGAGATTTCTCCAAAACAATTTTGTTTCTACAATGCCATATTTCTTTAATCTCCTTACATTAACCTATGTACACACCAACAGTAACAGTTCTAATGGATGAGAGGAGTTCAATAACAAAGATTGTTCACTTGTGGATGACAGATTTGTACATTGTTATTACCAGTAATAAATCCTATTATTTACCTTGGATATATTTTTTTTAAATTTCTCTGTAGACATGTCAATGCATGTTTGCACCATTTCATTCATAGGCAGAGTAAAATAGAATTTCAAAACTAAAAAATAAAGCACAGAATGGCTATAGTGACATAAATATATGTAATTATGCATGTCTACTGGTGATGCTATGTGTCTTGTTCATTGTCATTTCTATATTTAAAAAAAATAACACTGGAAATGAACTTGTAGCATATGTGAAAATTTTATTTGTTCAAATCCACAAGTTCATTGGTTTAATCAATCACTAAAATTGATTTACATGAATTACTCATATTGCAATCATACAAATTATTTATTGCTTTAAATCTTCTTTCTTATTTAAATGAGCATTAAAAATTATAGTTAAAGACAGATGTCAACTGGTTAGTGAGACACATTAGAAACACTTGGTAGAACACTGCTTAACACAAAACATTGGCTATTGTTTTGTATTTAACATTCCAATCATAGCATGCATAAAATTAATGCATAAGTTATCCAGTGTGCCTACTAGACATGCAGTTTTTAATCTAGTACATAAGTAGCACTGACAAACCATGTGTCATGAATACCTCAAACCATCAACAAGGATCTTTGCTGAATGATGAAGATGCCAGTTCACTCAAATGATATCTTCCATTACTTCCAAAAAGTTTTATAGCTAAAAAAAAATATATTTTTTCCCTTCTAAACATGAGTTTGATATCTTTACATGTTACTTAAACAAAAATATCATTTTCAGTACGGTATTTCTTTAGTAAACAGTAAAAGCTAGACAGCTGGACCAGTCATTTAAAAAAAAAAATTCTTGCTTTTCATGATCCCTGAATAAAATATAGTTCTGGAAACAGGAGGACATGTATTTATTAAGTGAACTATTTAACATGCACCTGATTTCACGAATGCAGTGTTATCATAATTGTACAAAAGTTAATGCTAGTACATTTCTAATATTTTGAGATTTAACCGATGCCAGAGCAATATGATGCATATAAATATAAATATTCACAGCCTTTGGCAACTTCATTCTATTTCAGTACAGCAATGGTTCCCAACCTGTGCTCTTCAGAACCATAAGCGCTCCTCACAGATGTCTCAGGGGCTCCTCGTTCACTTTAGGAAAGTCCTATAAACTTGTAAGACGTAAGGTAGTAGGTATAGAAATAGATTTTAAAAAGGACTCTGCAAGTCAAAAAAGGTTGGAAACCACTGCAGTATGATAACAGAAATAGTGAAAGTATTTAACATTTTTACCAACATATATTTATTATATATATACTGGTAATAAATGAAGTATTTAGATTTTACTATTAACAGTGTTATAATCAAACAATGCTGAAACAGAAACTCTTCAAGTGTAATCTCAACAAATGTTCTTAAAATAAATGAGCTAAAAAAAGTAAAAGGATCTTTTAAGAAAAACAAAATATGGGCTTAGAAATAGAATTGTGTTTATGCTGTACCATTTAGGGCAATACATTGATAATGGAATTAATATGATTGCCTAACTCTTTCTAGAATAAATAAAAATATGCATCCCACACTTAACTGAAATAAAGATTTTTAAAAAAATATTTAAACTTTACCCTAATTTTAAAAAACCAACAAAAAAATGAGTTACACATAATAATTATTAATCATCTTACAATTCCCGCCAAAAGTGCATCCAAGACATGGGTTTTCCGTTAAAACCTTGTGATTTTTTTAGCACTTAACAAAATGGGCACTCATTAACAGTACTGATAAAATAAAAGTTTAAATAACTTTTGTTCAAGTTAATCTTAATATTTTTCCATCAATGACCGAACAAAATTACAGAAAGTGCATTAGAAATTGTTCTTCAAAATTAATTACATGTTATTTAAATAAATAAGCTAATATAGATGAGCGTCATCGAGCTGTTGCAAAAAATGTATATTTACTATATGTTCTCTGTGTAATAATATAAAGAAATTACAGGGCCTTAGCAAATCCAGAGTAAATTTTAGATTTTACTGAATACTGTTATTCAGAGGATAAACACTTTTTAAAGAAAAATTGAAGTAACGGTAATATTATTTTAACGGCTTAATTTAACAACCTTAGGGTTCCAATAAACTCACATTTTATAAAAATGCTGATAATTTTCATGTAATGTGGTGTTTATTAATTAGTTTCTTTTTAAAATTTTACCACAGCCTTATTACTATTACTTACTTACTTACTTATTACTATTACTAAATCAAAAATGTAATTGGTGGCTGCACCAACTAGTGATCATCAACACCCATTTATTTCATTAAATAATTAATCCTGTCCTTGGTCAAAGTCTGGAAATTCTGCAATCCATTCACTGCTTTTATCAGATGAAGCTTTCACTTCAACATGTACTTCACTTTCACTGTTCTCTTCACTGTAATGTTTTTTGGAACTTGATGCAGTGCCAATACGGTGTAAAATTTGAACACGCCACTGATCATCAGGTAAATTTTTACCCCAGTCAGGAATGCTGTCAGATGGTAATGAGAATCCAGACATTGCCCTCAAAATCTTTGACTCTTGGACTATACAATTAGAAAAATAAACTTTTGAAACAATCCATTTTTTCCATTTATCATCATATATTTTTATGGTTCTATTAAATTATTTCACAATTTAAAAAAAAAAATGTTCCACAGTAACTAGTAGAACTTTAGCTGTTGTTTACTTTCAAATTTCTAAATAACATTGTGAGGCTGATTTATGGCAGGCTTTAAACAGCTCAGCACTGACTAGCTAATTGCAAAGAGTACAATCAGTAAAAATTAAAAGCCTACCTGAATCTAATGTAAGCTTGTCATGCTCAAGTCTTTTCTGATTCCATAGAAGTCCATCCTTATCTTTAGGAACAGATGGGATCTGAAAGAGTTTCATTCATAACAGTTTTACTACATTTGAAAAAGGATATGAGAAAAGAAAAATCACAATGTCTATTTACTTTAGCCACAATATTAACTAAAACCCAGTAAGGAAAACTACCTGCATATATGAAGGAATTTTCCCATCAGGATACTTTGATAGGAATGATGGATGGCATGAAGCATTAGCTGCTGTCACAGTGGGGGAAGACACTCCAGCCTCTGAAGATAGTACAGTGTCCGGCAGACATTTGTTATGGATATCATCTCCCAAAAGCACACCTGATGCAGCCTCTGAATTCAGAGACGAGGAATGTGCATTATAAACTTCATATCCAGCATTTGGTTCTTCATCAAAAAACTGTCCCACGTCGTCGTCATCATCTTCTTGTCGCTCCCAATCATCGTCTGGTTCCTGCGGAAGAAGTGAGTATCCACCAGGTGTGATAATTTCCTCTTCATCACTTGAATCTGAATCTCCAAAAACTACTTGGTTTACATTTGAAAAATTGTTAATTTCAGAATCATCTTTGTTTCCATTGGGTGGTTTTTCTTGATTTTCCTCTGGTATGGGAGCCATAATCTAATTAATGTTATATCCCTTCTATTACACTTCTGAGTCACCTTTCAAGTACGGTAAGGGCTGACTCTAATCAGGAAACTTCAGATCAACAATATCTGAATCTCCTCTTTCACACACTTACAAGTCTGTATTTTGTAAATTTTCAAGTATATCCTGACTTTTGTCTTTAGTGATTGAAAATAATAATAGTCCAAAGTTATTATTTGCAAAGGTGGTTTGCAATGTTAGTCTTGATTACTGTGGCTATGCCATAATCAAACAAAGAATGCAGAAAAGTTGCTTTGGCTGCAAAAGTATTTAAATAAATGGCTAATGTACAAATTCAACTAGGATTAAACTATTAGTATTAGACTTACAGAATGGACATCATAGTTAAAAGGTTTCCTTGAATTAATTAGGGCTACTTAGACAAGAATCCTACTGGAAAAACTAAAAGTTAAGAAGATTCTGCTTTCAAGAGCAAAAAATTAGTCAGTTGATATGAGTAAGAAATTTGAACTTTTGCTTGCAAAGGGGAAAATAAGTTCCTCAATTCTTTAATTTGCAGTAGGCCTAGAGGGCCTTTGATTATTTAATCACATAATAATTATGGGAAGTACTGGTTGTGGCATAGTGAAGGGGGGATTTCATAAATGGATATCCAATCACACGTAAATTTCACAACCAATCCAAATGTGTTCTGTATTAAAAGTTCAAGGTTGATGCGTCAGACATGAGGTGACCCTATGAGGAGGTGCCTATTAATTACGTCAACAAAATAGGAGTGGGGGGGAGGGGGTTTGGAAATGTTTGACAGTTGTTGACAAGGGGGAGGGAGGGGGTTTAGATTAGTTGACGTCAACAATCATGTTTTCTCTATTAAAAATGAAAATGATCAATCAGCTACAATAGACTATGCCCATCAGGGGTGTCATTTCCTGTTTTTTTCAGGGGAGGAGGGGGCCAAAACCAAAACTTGGTCAGCTTGTTGAGTTGTTTTATTACTGGAGGCGCCACAGTACATAGTTAGCAATTTAAATAAAACCTGAAAATTAGGGGGGTGGGGGCAAATCCCCCCTGCACTACCCAAATGATGTCTCTGTTACGATAGAGCAAACCTGGCTACTCCTTGGGAAGATGATAGCAGCTAGAAACTATACTATAATTGTCAGCTTTACTGACAATAATCATATTTACATCACATACAATGATATTTAGTCTTTAACAACCTTTCAATTGATTCTGCATTATAAAATTTATGTGTAAAAACTTTTTAACTTGTTGATTAACAAGCTAAAGATGTAATGAAATGTTTTTCCTACAATTTTATTGTCATTAAATAGATCAGCACAAAGTAAATGTATTTGTAATTTATTTATAATATAATATAATTCTTTTTGTGTGTGTGTGTGTGGGGGGGGGGGGTAGAAAATTTTTGCAAAAACAAATGGGGGGGTCATTGAAAGTTTGACAGTTGTTGACAAGGGGGGAGGAGGGGGTCGAAAATTGCTTAAAAATTGTTGACGTAATTAATGGACGACCTCAACAAGTCATAAAAACACCATGATTCAATGCGGATTGAGTGTTCTGTAACTTTCGTGACAAGAAGCTTTGATACCAAATACGATGTGGTCGGACGATTCTAAGTACATGTTACAGTTCTCAAATACATTAACCTCCTGACCTTCAATTAATTTGTTATTGTTCTTTTCATAATGTGGACTTATCTTAAAAAGAAGAAATCCATCGTGGAAGTTGGGGGCATGGGGGTGAAACCATAAGTTATAAGTTGACCGCACCAGGTGAGACAACCCTAGCTACACCACTGAGTACGGTAACCATCCTTCAGACTAGGCTGGCAAGGCATACAAAGTAACTGATTAACTCTACGGTAAGGGCCCACCAATTCAGTATATATAATAAACTTAAAATGAATTTTATAAAATATAATAGTAATATAAATTATAATGATATAGGCATTGGGCATAGGCTCAAATTAATTAATATTTAGGCACACTTAGAAGTTAAAGCCTATGCCTACTATCTACTTAGTAAAAAACGCCCCAAACTAATAACTTAGTCTAAAGATTAATAATATAGTCTATAGTCATAGTTTGTTATAAATAATAGGCTGAAATCCTTATTTCAACTTGCCTAAAAGATTAGTCAGTCAATTAGTCTCACACAAACTTAGAAACTCCATCTTTTTTTCATTACACCTGACTCCTGACCACATAATGCCTACAGCATAATCTACTTCAACACCACCAGGTTGGCCCTATTTGTAATTTGACTAATTTGTATTAAATAATTGTAAGGGGTATTTCATAACCTGATGCTTACAATAATATTATATATTACTAATTAATTTTTAATAGCAAACTAACTTAGCCTAAAATTTTAAACAAACTGGATAGGCCCAATAATTGGGACCTTATAGGGTCACTCAAGTCCAGAGCCCTACTATTATTATCATGAATTATAGCCTTGGCCTATAACTATACTATGTCTATGTATACAATTTTACAATACTATAGACTAGGCTATAGTATAAGTATAGGGCTTATATTGTAACCTTTGTCATTTTCTATCAAGAATTTTTTTTTGTAGCTATACTTTTCAATTTCTATGTTACTAGTTACGTCCCTGTATTTACTTTTCAGTTATTTTAGAAACGCCTAGACCTAGGCCTAAATTGGCATATTATTTTAATTTTATTATTACTATTTATTAAGAAAATTAATTTATTAAGATTTAAATTTAAGCCAATTATTCCAGGGAAACCTGAATTTGAATTAGTCACTGTCAGACACCAGTCTATTATGAGGAGCATGAGACTACTAATTAGTAAATAGATAAGAAAAGTAATAAACTTATAGGCCTACTTATAAAGTCTAACTTATTATTAAAAGATTATCTTATAAAAATTATAAAAAAGGGTGAGACTAAAAAAATTATATTAAAATCATACTAAAATTTTTAAATGTTTTTTTTTTTGTGTTGGTTTCGTTTTGGAAATACCCTTGTGAGTTCGAAATACTAAAATCCGATGATACGAAATACCAGTCTATTATAATTATTAATTATATTATAGTTATAAGGCTAGAATTTTAAAAATATCGTTCCATCACAAGTACAAGTGAAAGCTTTGCACTATCAATTGGCCTCCTACTACCTACTACCTACTATCTACTAATTAAAAGTTCGAAGTGGATGCGTACACCGCGGCGGTGTACCTAGCGAAATCGAGGGCTTTGGCCTGGGTACACCGCGGCAAAAATGTACCATTGGCCTTGTTTTAAGATATGCTCGCTAGAGAAAATCTTGCGTGGTCAAGTGGTAGAGTGGACGCTTGGCGATAATGTATTTTGAGATCAATTCCCAGTAGGCTTCAGTAGGGGATTAGTTTTTTTTCCTCCCATTTTAGTTTTACTATTTATCCGTCCATATCCGTCATTGTGAAACCTCGTCCATTTTCAAAAAGTCCCTTAAAATTCATCTGTTTAGGTCCGCCTATGACCTGTGATGCACCCTCCTTGCCCTGCCTCATTTTCTGTTTCGGGTTGATCCTGAAGTATAGGCCAAAATGTGTCAAAGTGTCCTCGTTTTATAGCCATTTTCATTGTTTCTATAGTATAGTAGTTACTATCCTAGTGTCTTATTTTTATTTTACTAATTTACATGTTTTTCATAATTGTAAAGCGCTTAGAGCTTTATGGTAAGCGCTATATAAAAATGCCTAAATAAATAAATAAATATATAATATATATATATATTAAGTGTTTCAACAAGTTGTACCGGCCTTTGACTTTGAAAATACCGGTAAATTTAGTAATAAGACATTAGACATTAGAAAACAAACTTAAAGTTTCTGAAAGCGCATGTATAGTGTATGTAACATGTATAAGTTATAATAAGAGAAAAATTATGAATACTAAGTGATATTCTATTGTATTTCAACATACTTCATGTAGTTGAATATTTACATTTTACTTTTACGAACATCAAAAGAAAATAGCAGTATATCATTAATATCATATGACTATGAATATTAATGTCATTATTGTGCATGGTCATATTTCAACCTTGAACCATCTTGCTTTCACTATGCCTTATGCATTGGCAAAATGTACACACGATATCAAAGGTTCATTCACAACACTCAGTCTCACAGCAAATCTTTTGAAAACACCTCGATTTTAGAAACTTGCGGAGCGGTAGCAAACTGTATAGCAAAGCCATAGGTCTGCGTTTACCCTTTTCATGACGTAATTTGTTTCCAGAATGGCATGGCATGTGCTATTCTCAGGGTAAAACACGACGTTTTCTCACAGAAACCATTGCACAATGCGCCTGGGACAGGATTTGCACTATGTCAAAGTTTTTGTATTTGTTGTTGTT